TGCAGTCATTCTGTATTGGATATATTCTAATCGGTTGCAACCGTTCAAATGGCTGCATTTAACCATCACATTAAACGTGGGGTCTTTAAACGCGACGTATTGCTTGAAGATGCATTAATGCTTTACTCTGATTGCTTTAATCGTTTAATAACGTTAGATAATCATTTTGTAATAAAATAACCGTTCCGGATGTCTTGCAGAAATCTTCATAGTTCGCAGGTTGTAGTGGTAGCAATTGGAACCCCCCCCCCCTTCATTTGATCGCATTTCTTTCCAAAAATTTTGATTTATTGCATCTCGTTTGATTGAACCACACTGATATGAAGAAATCGAACATTACAAGAACAGTTATAGGAACAGTAGAGCCAATTAATTCTTCAGCATTCCTCACGATCAGGTACACTATAACGTAAAGCATGCTATAAGTCGCAAATTTCAGCGCGCATTTGCTTGCAGTGTTCTTTCTGAGAAATTTGAAGAGCACAAAAACTGCGGCAAAGAACGTTGCGACTAACATAACAAGTGGGCGGGTGTGTTGAATTGCGAAGAAACATTTCGCGTTTGTTTGCCTGCTTGCTCAGGTAGATGAAGCTGTAAAGCTTAAATATTGCATACGGCATCATTGATAAATGGCTATTCTCAAGTNGTTGGGTTGGTTGGCTAGAGAGAAAGTTTGAATGTGATTCGAACACTGAGGCTGGCAGCTAGGGAAATTGAACACGAACAAAAGCAATGAATTCATTTTGTACTGCTAATTTTCTGAAAAAAAATCTGGATCTCAAGAGTGTACTCGAAAAATTACATTTCATAGTCACTCGAGAATGAAATCACCAGTCGCATTGCAATGTTGTATATTGAAGAGAAGTTCGACGCAGTGACAATGCGAATTTCATGAGATACATTAAACCCTTTTTTCAGTAAGAAACACCAAAATAATTCAAACGCGTTCAGAAATCAGCACCGTTTAGTGGGAAGAAGTGAAACAATATTCTCATATTGTGGGATTGCACTTTTAAAAAACTACCAATTAAAGTGATCAACGCTTTTCCAGGCAAGCAATTTATTAGTCTTAAAAATCATAAAAGGTATTCGTTTCGAAGTAAACGTGAACGTTTGAAAATAGATCTGAGCTATGATCAACTATGATTTCGTGCTGTGCTAATGCATTGAACACGCTTTCGATAAGTATTCATTATCAACTTGATTTCAGCGATACTTTTCACGTGCGAATTGCCATTGTGAATTGACATCTCATATTAAGAAAAAATTGAGAGAGGATTGTTTGATTGATACGTAGTTGCCATCTGTTCTAGAAGAGTCACTATGAAGTAACATTCTATGAGAAAGCTCGTTTTAAAATCTGGTTGAAGCAGTTTTGGTCTCCGATCTCAACCAGACCTTAAAGTTCTGTTCCACCCATACTTTCAACCTACGCTTCAAGGTCTGGATGTCTGATTGGAGCTGTTTGTTGACGTAAGAGGCTGAAAAATTTTAATGACTCGTAAATAAGTCATTAAAATTGGGAAGAAGTCTGCGCAGTGTGTACAGAACTAAAGTAAATACTCTGGTAGCAATGTTTCGATGTTTAAGTTTATTTCAGTACATTCAATTAATGATCGACCTACTTGACATGCATCAACTGAACTAAATCAAAAACAAAATACTCAGTTACATCCCAGAAGCACTTCAATATCGTATTATCATGTAGCAACTATGTTAGAGCTTCGGTTACGATTTGAAGTAGTGCTACATTTCACTGCAATGAAAATTACTTCATTTTATCAGTAAATAAGACAAATGGAACAGAAACTCATCAATCGGCATATTGATGCGTTCAAAAGATATGGTGGTGTTGAACTATACTTTTTGCACGATTAAATCCACTTTACCATGAAATAACGCATAAACAAATGGTGAGTCTCTATGTCTGATGACTCAGTGCAATGGAATTTTATCTTCGTCATACGAAGTGTGCCTATCGCATAAAATCCAAATACCAAGTTTCAATTTGACACTTTACACGCTTAAAATGAGATATTATTCGAAATTCTATCCTTTTATAACGAAATAAAATCTTTTTTTAATGAAGTTTTTCCTTCTTCTACGTTAATGCTACTGATCCTCTCCAGATATTTCATCCAAGGTCGCATTTTGATTTGCGGGATGCTGAAATCAATTCTAATGATAGAGTAATGCAGAGAAGAACTCATTTCGTTAATTCATGCTATATATTCTTTGTACGCATGAAGCAGTTCTCATCGTGTTGTTAAGTAAACAGTAAGTATCACTGTGCGACATTCAAAGATATCTTCAGTTACCATATTCTGATCATAATCAAGCTGGAAAGCTCTATGAAGTGATTTGTGGCAATGAACTGCAGCTGAAGAAAGCACTGTCCAAATAGATGGCATTGTTGCGCGGAAAATGAATGTGAATAGTTCATGGAAGATACTGAGGGAAAGTATATTCGAAGATTCGTAGGTAAAATATCTGCAAGATGTTTTGAACGCACTCAAGGGAATTCCTAGCGCTAAGTCGGAGATTACCGCTTCTCAAATATCAAAAGTCTCGAGGAGAGCACACCTCTTAAATGAATTTGTGTATTATTGCTTTTTTCCCTCAATTAACGCCAACGACAAAAGATAACACTGAGGGATCGATCGTGTTATCGCTAAGTATGAGCTCTCTCTGCTTCTGGCTGTGAAAAGTTATCGTTCAAACACTTCGAATCATTGTGAAAGAAAAAGAATTGAACTGCTAATGATGTCTATACCATCTTCTGAATCAGCATCCGGACCTGCAATGATCCAATGAATGAAGTAGAAAAAGTATTGCGAAATTGAAGTGGGATCGATGAAAATTGATTAGCTCATTGCTTCAAGGAAAAAGATCAGTGTTGGTTGGTGCTAGAGGATTTGACGTAATCTGATTATTCAATTAGCACTATTATTATCGCTTCAATGTGCTGAAGAGAAAAAGTCGAAGAATTTATTGAGTACTATGAAGATATCAGTATACGAAGGAAGATGGTATGCCTACGTGTATGAGAAAGTGAATTGTATGTGGTAGGTGTGGTGCTGGTATTGTGACGTTTCCAGATTGCAGCTAGTAACAAACAACAGCCAAGAAACACTTCCAGATACACTCCGAGATACACTTGGACTATTGAAATCTGTTTATCACTCTGGCAGGGTATGAGTTAACAAGCATTCTTGACGACTCGTTGGCTTCAATCAAAATGTTAACAAAAGTGAAAGAAGTTCGAATGAGTTCTATCAACCGCTTAAGTGTTTGCGAGAAATATCGCTGAATGAGATAATCAAGATATGAAGATGAGAGATAAACAGTAAGTGAAGAGCATTCAAGCAGACTCAAAGTATCTATCCTCTTGCAGCAACGATATTGCTCTTTCACTAACCACCACACCAATGTTCAATGGGATATCGAACTATTTCGGGACCTTTACACAGTCAATCAGGTTTTATGCACTTTACACTCATTCCTCACTCAATTTACAGTTTTTACTGCTGGCAACCAGCAGCATCATCGACACCCGAACAAGAGCACAGCAAAAGCATAACAATAGCATCAGCTTTCTGATCATCACTTTCTCTCAACTTCTATCCTACAATCACTGTGCAGAGAGTATTCAGAAAAGAAAGAAAGAGAGCAACTAAAGCAAGGAATTGTTTTCCAGCTAATCTCGCACCACCTCTCTCTCGAACTCTACTCTGACTGTGATCAGCCAACGTTTTGGTTGATAACAAAAGCGAATGAAAACGGCGTATTGAGGTGTGTTACAGGCACAGTTCAATTCATTGCTCGGTTGTGTGCCACGATCGTGTGCTGTTGTTGGCCGCTAGATTCGTTAGCAGTAATCGTGTTATTATTAAGAGCCAGCAGTAGCTGCAAGATAAACATTGCCGTTGCAGACTTATCCGCCACTAGTGTCAGTCAACAACTATTTATTCGCGAATACTAATCTTCTGTTCATTCACTGTAATTTCATCCCAGACGACGTTCTAATTCGATCGTCTGAACGACTTATCCTTATTTCAGTTTGCTATTCATCGAATAAAAATGTCTGATACTCTCTACAGAAGTCCATCAATGGCTATACGCTCTAGCACTGCTGATATGGGCGCTTTAACGTCAATGAGTGTAGCCGATTTGGGAAGTTTAACACGATTGGAGGATAAGATTCGGCTGCTGCAAGATGACTTCGAATCAGAACGCGAACTTCGAAATCGTATTGAACGTGAACGTGCTGATTTGAGCGTTCAGTTGATCGCTCTCACTGATCGTTTACAGGATGCTGAATGTGCGACCGATAGTCAAATTGAATCGAATCGTAAGCGCGAAGTGGAGCTGTCAAAACTACGTAAACTGCTGGAAGAATCACAGTTGGAAAATGAAGATGCGATGAATGTGTTGCGTAAGAAACATCAAGATGTTTGTCTTGACTACACCGAGCAAATTGAACAACTCCAGAAGAAGAACTCGAAGATCGATCGTGAACGACAACGTCTTCAGCATGAAGTGATTGAACTAACGGCCACAATTGATCAACTCCAAAAAGACAAACACGTCGCTGAGAAAATGGCGCAAAAATTCGAACAACAAACCATTGAGTTGTCGAATAAAGTGGAAGACTTGAACAAACATGTGAACGATTTGGCACAACAACGACAACGTCTCCAAGCCGAGAACAGTGATTTGCTGGCTGAAATTCACGATCAAAAGGTACAACTCGACAATCTGCAACATGTCAAATATCAGTTGGCACAACAATTGGAAGAATCTCGTCGTCGTTTGGAAGATGCTGAACGTGAACGCTCACAAATGCAAGCACAACTTCATCAGGTACAACTTGAGCTTGATTCAGTTCGTGTGGCTCTAGATGAAGAAAGTGCAGCACGTGTTGAAGCCGAACACAAGTTATCGTTGGCAAACACCGAAATCACACAATGGAAGAGTAAATTCGATGCTGAAGTGGCTTTACATCACGAAGAAGTTGAAGATTTACGCAAGAAGATGATGCAGAAACAAGCTGAATATGAAGAACAAATCGAAATCATGCTCCAAAAGGTATCACAGCTCGAAAAGGCCAAAGCTCGTCTACAAAGTGAAGTTGAAGTTCTCATCGTTGATTTGGAAAAAGCTCAGAATACAATCGCAATTTTGGAACGTGCTAAAGAACAACTCGAGAAACAAGTGCTCGAGATGAAGTCTAGAATCGATGAACTNGAACTTCAGAAGATGAAGCAATTGTACGAGAAAGCCGTTGAACAAAAGGAAGCGTTGGCACGTGAGAACAAGAAACTTCAAGATGACTTACATGAAGCTAACGAAGCTCTTGCAGATGCTAACCGCAAATTGCACGAACTCGACCTTGAGAATGCTCGTCTGGCTGGTGAGATTCGTGACTTGCAAGTGGCTCTCAAGGAATCTGAAGCTGCAAGACGTGATGCCGAAGCTCGAGCTCAACGCGCTCTCGCTGAGCTGCAACAAGTCCGTATTGAGATGGAACGTCGTTTGCAAGAGAAAGAAGAAGAAATGGAAGCCCTGCGTAAATCAATGCAATTCGAAATTGATCGTCTTACCGCAGCACTTGCTGATGCTGAAGCACGTATGAAGGCCGAAATTGCACGTCTTCGCAAGAAGTATCAAGCGGAGATCGCCGAATTGGAGATGACCGTTGATAACTTGAATCGTGCAAATCTTGAAGCCCAGAAGACCATCAAGAAACAGAGCGAACAAATCATTCAATTGCAAGCCAATCTCGAAGATACGCAACGCCAATTGCAGCAGACTCTCGATCAGTACGCACTGGCACAACGTAAGATTTCGGCGTTGAGCGCTGAATTGGAGGAATGCAAGACCGCATTGGACAACGCGATCCGTGCACGCAAGCAAGCCGAAGCTGATCTTGAAGAGGCACATGTGAGTTTTGACTTCATTCTCTAATACTGAGGTGCACCACTCCAGTTCTTATCTCAACAACGATCTGCTCAGCAAATTATGCAAAATATAGACAATTCAGCAAAACATTCGCTTATTTCAAAATTCTAACTCTCGTTCTCAGCAAGTCATTCAGGTTCATTATCTTACCATTAACACTGATATCCGTTCATATTCAACTACTGAAAAAGCTCGAAGTTGCATTATTCTAGTGATACAAGAGGATTCTTCCAAAAGAATTCACNACAGAATTCCCCTATAAACGATTGATTTCATTCAATGAAAGTGTGGTGTTTTTGTCGGCTGCGATAAATTCCTTGAAGCAGTCGTCGTTTTAATATCCTGTGAACAACTGTTGTGGAAACTTGCGTGGAGTTGCTCGAGCATTTCTGCAAGCAGTTCATTTTAAACTTTTTGTTGCTGTTGATGAAAGTTATTTTTTCGTTTCAAAATTAACTGTAGGGATTGAAAGTTTCATTTATTTTACTGCTTGCCTCCATTCTTCTAGCCGACCCATTGTTTGCATAAAATCTCTCTCACTGATCGTCGACGAACGAAATCATGTATTCTTAATGGTTCTCTTCCTCACCCATAAAAAGTTTTTTCGTTCAATTCGAATGTTTAGTTAGTACCTTTTATTCCGCAATATTTAACTGATCAACAAATAACGCAGTTTTTCGCTCTTTAGTTCTACTCTTCATTTATCCTTTTAAGCGAGAAATACGGGTTGGTTGCCAGAGCAAACATTCACGGCGAATAAAACAATACAGCTTCTCAGATTATTTTGAATTGTCAACTGACTATTACCGTTTCTTCATTCGAATAGCATTGCCTTTCTGAAAGCTTTTTTCTTTACGGTATCTCAGCATTACACCTCGTCCTTCTAACCTCTTTCTTTGACCTCATCAATTGCAATAAGAACAATTGTTAGGCGCGAGATCAGCTTGGCTAACCATTATTTTGAAACACAGTTGAATCTGTTCTCGGTGTTCTATCAGCTTCCTCAGCAACATTTCACTAACCAGTTTAGAAATGCCCTACACATTTTTTCGTTGTCCGATCTAGATGATCTAAGTTTCATACAACCACTGGGAATGGCTTCAGTTTATAGCATAAGCGTTCTGATTTGAGCGAGCAATTAGAAAAGAAGTGAATGACCCTGAAAAAAAGTAGCCAAAAGCAATTGAAAAGAAAATTATCTTATGCTTTCTTGATCTGTTCTTCAAACTTCGTTTTTGATGCGTTCTTCGATCAAGCCTCAAGTCCTTATTGTTTACTAATCGATCAGCATTTCATCAGTTTATTGATTATTTTTGCTGTCTAGTACATTATTTTGCAATTCTTCCAATTATTAAGATCACAAGACCTCTTAAGAAGATTGTTTTGCCCGGAACATTCGCCGTTGATTCATTCCTCGGTATGAATATTCAGTGGTAATTTTCTTGATA